TAGACGACTTTCCTCAAACTGATCTTCCGTGGAACCCCAGCGTGCACAGCAAACACCTCATCTACACTCCACACTCCCCCGCCCCCAGGAAAAAGCCTGCACCCCATCAGTGGCTCCATTTCTGCCGCCAGTGTCCCCACACCAGTCGACCCAGAGACTCTTTCGGAGGGCAGTGCCCTTTTGCTCACAAAGGGTTTGGATCCGGGAGGGAAGGGTTTTCCCCATGAATCATAATCATTCTTGGTCACGGCCAAGCCCACTTCCTTCCCCAGGCAGCCACTTCCTCATTTGCAAAACAAGGAGTCACGGCCCTGATCCTCTAGCGGAGGCCGTGGACTTGGAGGAAGCGGGTGGCGGCGGCAGGCAGCGCCCTCTGGTGGGCAGAGCTTGCATGGGCAGAACGAGGGCGCCCGGAGCCTGCGCGTTCCAGCCAAGGACGTCGGTCTTTTCCTCATTGGCCAAACACTTAGCTTCGAGCCTGAAATTCTTCCGTTAGCGGCTCCTCCTTGGAGTGAAGCCTGGCGCTCTCCTCGATGCCCCCTTGTAGGGGCAGACCCCGATGCTCGGACGCACGGACCCCCAACGTTATAGTGGGCGTGGCTTACGTCTTGGGCCTTTCAGCCTGCAACGTACAGAACACAAAGCTTGGGTGTTAGAAAGACTTCGGTTCCGCTCCCAGTTTGTCCGTTTACGCCCTGTGTGACCTGACTCACTTTCCTCATCTGTAAGATGGGGATGATCATCATTCTTCCCTCACAAAACTGTTGCAAGGATAAAGTAAGTTAATAAATGTAAAGCGCTTAAACAGTGCATGGCTTATACAGTAAGTGCTCGATAAATGTTTATTACTAATTGTTATTACATTGGGTTCCACATTGCCTCCCCCACTGGACTGCAAACTTCCTGAGAGTAGGAGCTGGGCTGGTTTGTCTTCATATCTCTGGTGCCCAGTTGGGTTCATTCAACAGAGCTTGGTGTATCGTGGTTGCTCAAAAAATATTTGTCAGTGAATGAATGGGGACTGCTAGCTACACGAAGGAAAGCATCGAGATGATTTATAATAGCTACACATTAACTTAGTCCACATACATTCCTTGAGCCCTGCCCTGTGCCTGCCGCGTGCTGGGTGGCACTGGGACGGGTGGTGACAGAGAGCGCCCTGGCCCTGTCTTCCCAGGGCTCGCGATGCAGTCTGGCAGGCAGATAAACCCATCTCCAGGTAGTACCGACCCTGAGAGGGCGAGGTTGAGGTGGATGACCTCAGAGGGGGGACCTGACCCAGGTTAGGGGCTAAGGAGGGCTTCCTGGAGGAAGGGGTGTCTGAGCTGAGGTCTGGAGAATGAGTAGGGGTAGACCCGAGTGGTGTGCTTGTGGGTGTGCTCCAGGCAGAAGGAAGAGAGTGTGTAACAGCATAGAAGAACTTCAGTCTGGGGGGCCATAGAACGCAGTGGGGGAGGGTCGGGGGTACGGAGAAGGGAGGCCAAGGGGCCCAGGGCGTTATGGTGAGGGTGCTGGGGAGCCATGGATGATTCTGAGCAGGGAGGGGCAGTGTGGAGTTTGGGCTTTAGAAAGGTCCCTTGAGCTGTCTTGTGGTGGGAGGTTGGGAGGGGATTGAGAGAAACAGCCTGCCTCGGACTGGACTGTAGAGACCAGAGACGTCAAGCTCGGGAGACTTAGATGGCAGGGTCCAGTGCTTGCTCCAGTGACACCGAGGGAGGGAGCACCCATGTTTTGGGCCCGGGAAGCTGCGTGTATTCTCTGTGTGCCCAGGAGGGTAAAGAAAGGGCCAGAAGCTGGGGTCGGTGCACGGAGAGGGGGCATCACACAGTCGGGGCGTCACGCAGCCTGGACGCCTGTCCGTGGGTCTGCACGGTCCTCTGCTGCCCCCTTCTGGCTCCACATTGGCTCCTGTCCTGCCTCTAAGTCTGGTGACAAGGACAGACCCCATAAGCTCACGCCCTTGACCCAACTGCCTTCTCCTGCCAACACGTGGAACTGAATTCAAGACTGGCCTCCCAGACCCCGCTCTTTTCTTTCTTTTTCAAAAGACGGTTTTATTGAGATAAAATTCACATACCATACAATTCACCCATTCCAAGTGCACACGTGTCAGTGTGTTTAGTGCATTCACAGGGCCGTGCAACCATCATTGTAATCAATTTGGGAACTTTTCCATCACCCCACAAAGAAACCCTGTAACCCTTAGCCGTCACTCACCATGCCCCTCTCCCTCCCAGCCCCTGGCAACCACTAATCTTTCTATCTCTACGAATTTGCCTATTCTGGACGTTTCATACAAACGAAATCCTACGATATGTGGCCTTTTGCGTCTGGCTTCTTTCACCCTGACATGATGTTCTCCCCGTCCATCCATGTTGTAGCATGGATCGAATATTTAATTCCTTTTTTATGGCCGAATAATATTTCATGGTCTGAATATATCCCGTTTTGTTTATCCAGTCATCTGCTGATGGACATTTGGGTTCTTTTGAACTTTTTGGCCATTATGAATAATGCTGCTGTGAACATTCGTGTCTGAGATTTCGCGTGTCTTCATTTCCTGCTAACCGCGCCCTCTTGCAGTGTGAACCCCACCACTGCCCCCTGCTCCCCATCGCACGAGCCCCATGCTGGCGGGTTCCCTGACTCCAGTCCCTCAGGCTTCTCAGCACCTGCTTTATTTTCTCTCGGGACACCACTCCTCCCAGACATCACCCTCCAAAGGCAGAGATCTCTGCGTTTTGTTCATGGCTGTCTCCTCAGAGCTTAGAACAGCTGCACACAGCAGGTGATCAATTAATATTTGTTCAATTGATAAACAGAAGAATTATTGACATGTGCTTCTCCCTAAGCCCTCACACCTAATTTAGGACCGATTCTATCAACGTTTCATTCAAAGTATTCTTCGGCTTTGTGTACTTCTTCCCCAGGCGCCTGAACCACTCTGGTCCAGTACCTGCTGAATGAATGAATGAGTCATTGAATGAATAGATGGAGGTGGGCAGGCGTGCCTGGAAATTTTTCTTAGGAAAGCATGGTGGTTGAAAGCACAGTGTGGGCTCTGGTGTGAATCCTGATTGATTGGGCTGTTATTACAGATTTGAGTTCATCTTGTTCTGGGTACATGATAAGATTGCACCTGCCTAGCCCTCTTGACATGAGATTTGTACCATGTGACTTGCTTTGGCCAATGAAATGTGAGTGGGCGTGTCACTTCTGGGTGGAAGCCTTTAAAAGCCAGTGCGTGCCTTGCCATCGTCCCTCCCTTTCCCTGCTCTGTCAGCCTGGTTCCTGGAGGAGATGCAAAGCAGAACTCTCCTGACCCTCATCACACCTGCCTACCCGGGATGGACGTGCATCATGAGCGAGAAATAAACCTTTGATGTTTTAAGCCGTGGAGACAGTTGTTACTGCAGCATAACCTAGCTCATCCCGACTGCGACACTGGTCTTTCCTCACATCGATGTGTGACCTTGGGATGGTCACGTCACCTCTCTGAGCCTTGATTTCTCCATCTGCAAAATGGGAGTATAATGGTCCCAGCCTCCCAAGGCTATTCTGAAAATTCAAGAAATTCAGACTGTAAAGACACAAAAAAAGGCCTGGTTCATTCACTGGAGCTATGATCATCATAATTAATTCTGATTTTGAAATGGTGAAAGAAGAAAACCCCTTTGGTACCCCATTTCCTAGGGTTATAGTAGGAGGAGCCTATATTAGTCTTCTAAGGCTACTATAGCAAAGACCACAGACTTGGTGACTTAAACAACAGACATTTATTTTCTCACAGTTCTGAAGCCCGGAAGTCCAAGGTCGAGGTGTCAGCAGGCTTGGTTTCTCCTGAGACCTCTCTCCTTGGCTCGCAGACAGCCATCTCCTGGTCGTGTCCTCCCATGACCTTTCCTCCAAGCGTGTGGATCCCTAAAGTCTCTTCCTCTTCTAAGGACCCCAGTCCTATTGGATTAGGGCCCCACCCTATCACCTCATTTAACCTCGATTACCTCTTCCAAGGTTTTATCTCCAAATACGGTCACCTTGGGGGGTTAGGGCTTCAGCATACAAATTTTTGGGGGACATGATTCAGTCTATAACAGCAGGTACCAAGTGACTGGAAGGCAGGTAGTCAGGCTCAGAGAGCTTACTCTTGAAAACACTGCCATCTTGGAGGTGGGAGTTGTATTAATTAGGATTTAGAAGGAGCTGGGTATAACGGAATCCCTAAGTGATGGCAGCTTAAAGAAGAGACGAGTCTTTATTTCTCAGATTGCTATCTAACCTGCTTTGGTGGCTCTGTCCACGTCATTGTCCCTGCCCCACCTCTCTAACTAGGCTCTGTGCTGCCCCTGGTGATCCCTGGTGGCTCTCACCATCACATCTTTTCTCTGGCCTCTGTGCTGCCCCTGGTGATCCCTGGTGGCTCTCGCCATCACATCTTTTCTCTGGCCTAACTAAGTGAAGGGTGAGGAAGGGGAATCCTCTCCCTTTAAGGGTGTGACTTGAGGATTATGCATATCACTCCTGCTCACATCCCATTGGCCTGGAATTAGTCACATGGCCATACCTAGTTTCAAGGGAAGCTGAGAAATGTAGTTTTTATGCTCAGCAGCCATATGCTTAGTTAAAAACTATTACTGAGGAAAGGAGAGAGCAGTTATTGGGGTCTGACAAACAGCTGCTGGCATGGAGGAGAGAAAGCAGACACGTGGGTTCTCTTCATCTGAGAAGGGGTTGAAGAGAGTCCCCCCCGCCGTACCCCAAACCCCAGCAGCCAGAGTCGGGCTGAGCCCTGCCCATGTGGCTGACCTGGTTGACCTCTCAAGTAAGTGGGAGGCCAGAGTGTCTTGAGAAGTCGAGAGATGAAAGTCCCTCACAGGAAGTGTTAGCCATGCTGGGCCACAGGAAATACAACTTCCCTTCCCGTGAATTCTTCCTTATCTGCTGTTACAAATTACCACAAATTTAACAGCTTCAAACAAAAGAAATTTATCCTCTCAAAGTTCTGTAGGTCAGAAGTCCAAACTGGGTCTCGCTGGGCCAAAATCAAGATGCCGGCAGGGCTGTGTTTCTGTCTGGAGGTTCTAGGGGGTGATCTATTATCTCGCATTTTCCAACTTCTAGAGCTTCTGCTCATGGCACAAGGCCAGCAAGGGCTGGGGGGCTCCTAGATTCAAGTCGCTCCGACTCTGTGCTTGCCTTGGCTTTTGGCCCCTCCCTCTATCTTCAAAGCATGTCACTTCAACCTCTGCTTCCTTTGCTGTCACAGCGCCTTCTCTGACTCACTATTCCTGCGACCCTCTTATAAAGACCCCTGTGATTACATTTAGGGCTCGCGGGGGAAATCCAGGGTCATCTCCCCATCTCAGGATCATTAACCTCATCACAACAGCAAAGTTTCTGAGGTGCCATTATTCAGCCTCTTTTTTTTTTTTCCCAGCTCCCAGAGCAAAAGCCAGGTCTTTGCAGTGTCTTACATGACCCTGTTCACGTCATCGCTCCTCACTTTCCTGACTTCTTCTCCCCTCGCTCCCCATCCTTTCATCTTCCTTCTGCTCCCAACACCCCGGCCTCTTGGAACGCACTGGCAGCTCCTGCCTCAGGACCTTTGCCCTCTGCCTGGAAGGCTCTTCCTCCAGACCCCCGCACGGCTCCCTCCCTCTCCTCCTTCAGGTCTTTGCTCATTGTCACCTTCTCGGTGACATGCTCCCACCTCACATTATTTATTTATTTTGTTTCCTGTCTCTTTTCCCTGCCGGAGTGTTCTTCTTCGAGAGCAGGAGTTTTCAGCTGCTTTGTTCCCCGCCAAAGCTGCAGGATCTAGAACTGTGCACGGCACACGGCCTATTTATTGCTAAATGAATGACTAAATTAAGGGCCACAGACCGGGCCCCCATTTGGGACTAGGGGCGTGGTGGGGGAGGGACTGGGTGAGAATCAGGGTGGGAGCCATGGGCAGAAGTGGGCCACAGGTTTTGAGAGACTGATTTTGAGAGGGGCTGGAATCTGCCTGAGCAAGGAAGGGGTCCGGCAGCCTTGGTAATTGACTAGGTCTGTCATTGAGTGCCACAGGCCTGAGGCCAGCCCTCCCTGCCATGTGTCTTGTCCTCTGGGACATGTGTGGTGGGGGTCTGCTTTGTTCCCAGGGGAAGGGGCTCTGAAGGCAGTCAGGGAGCAGGGGTGGGCCAACAGTCAGTTTAGAGCTCAGCCAAGTGGGCACCTGCGAAGTCTGGCTGGAGGCAGGCCTGACACCACCCTTCCCAGCCCCAAATATGTCGGTAAAGGAAGAGGGGGGAGGCGAGAGCCTGCTTTGCCGGGGCATGAGGCTCAGGCCAGATTGCTAGAAGGATCACATTAAAGATGGGTGGTATATTCAGAGGGCGATTGAGGAGCTGGGCCTGTCACTGTCTCCTGACCCTTGCCTGGGACACCTGCCAAATGCCAGGCTATGTCTTCAGCTGAGTGCACCTTGTCAGCCCCATGGCCCCGATAACTTGGTCTTGCTGATGTGGCTCTTCTGCAGGTGTGATGTCCCCAGGGGAGGGCTGAGGTTTTCCCTCAGCCACTGGCCTTCAGGGGGTTGGCACCAGCTGGCAGTAAGGGGCAGGATCGGGATTCAGCAGGTCCTGGGGGG